CTGAGGGGTTCCCCCCACCCTGGACACCCTGGCATCCTTCACTGGAGTCACCCGGGCATGGTTGGACCCTGGTCCTCGGGGAGGGTGGCTTCATGACTTCTCTGAGGGCTGAGAAAGAAGTGCAGTCACCTGCTCGGTGGCCCTTCCTTGTCTTCCTGTGTCCAAGCATCCATGTCCGCCTCTGCCTTTCATAACTCCTTTCATACCTGGCCAGCTCAGATGTTGCACGATAAAAAGACCGAGGGAAGAATTGGAATCAGGAAGGAGGAACTTGGTTTGCACCCAAATCCTATTACATTATGGGGCTCCGATTTCCCTGGGGCTCTGAATTTCTCTCTCTCTCTTGCTCACTCACACACAGACACACAAATACTTAACCCAGGATTTCCTTGTATGTATTTTTTTACTATAAACATTTGTCGTGTTGGTAAGAGTTCATCATCTGGTCTTTAGGATGCATGGAGGTAATTTTGGGATAATTGTTAGAAGAAGAACATACAACCAGCGCATGATCACAGGGAGACTCACCTGGACTCACACCAGTCTCTGCAACCTGGTAATTCTGTGGGTTCCCAGGAGGGTCCCACGTGTGGTTGAAGCGGGTGAGTGTGTTCTGTGGACCACAACTTCCAAGGATCCCTTATTATCCTTTCAAAGTGATCACACAGATTTCTTGTGCTTTTGGAATTCTGAGCCACCCAAGGTGAAGGCCACCCATTGAAAGGTGAGATTTCCATCCCGTGTAGCAGGTGACGGACCAGGGCTGGGCTCTGCCAGGGCCGGGTCCTCGCTCTGCCTCATCCAGCCCCTTGCTTTCAGCAAATTCAGTTTGATTCTCTGGACCTCGCTTCTTCATGTCTAAGTGAACGGACCTGGACGGCATGGAATTCGTTTTATTCATCACCAAACTTTGGGTGGGTCTCCTCTGACTTCAGTGTCAGAGTTGGTGACAGTTGAATGGTGGTGTTCCTGGTGTAGGGGGAGCTGGTGCAAGCTTTGTTATTCTTTCATGGTGGATTTACCTGTTGACAAGGGTTACTTCTGTTCACGAGTCCAAGCTCACACTGCTCGCCGCACGGCAGGCCAGTAAATGGAGAGAACATGTTTTGGGGCAGGAGTAGCGACTTTGTTCAGAAAGCCAGCAGACTGAGAAATGGGGGACCTGTGTCCCAAAGAGCCATCTTCCTCCCAGTTAGAATTCAGGCCTCTTTTATACCAAAAGGGAGGGAGTTAAGTCTTGATTCTGGTCAGCCCCTGGAGGGGACGTGTTAATTTCCTCCTTCCTGCAGCCACTCGCAGATGGGCTGGTCAGGATGCTTCCTGGGAGCTAAACAAAGGTTCTTTAGTTTAATGCTCATTTCCTGGGAGGCAGGGTTCCCAGAGATGGGCCATCGTGTACACTTTAAGCTTGTAGGCAGCATCCCTTTAGTGATTAACTTATAACAAAAGCAACAAATACGAAGTTGAAAGTAAAAGAAACAGACCCAACGCGGTTCCTCCCTCGTCCACTTCCTTCACACTGTAATCTGTCTAGTAAAGGTTTTGGAATTTAAAAAAATCTAACAGGTTCTATAATTTTCCAATCAGGAACAACTTCCCCAATTTTACTTTTTCCCTCTTGGACGTGGTGCACGTAATTGGGCACCTGCTTACTTCAACAAGCTCCCAGCCACTTGTGAAACAAGTCTCTCTTTTAAATCAGCAGCTTCATACCGATTAAAATAAATCCCCACTGAATCTGAGATCAGATGTAGATGGGGGAGATGATGCTGATTTTAAAGGTCGTGTGAATGTGCCCTCTTGTTTACTAGGAAAAAAATATTTTCCCCCATACATGATATATATATGTAAAAATGTATAAAAAGTTAAGAAAAACACAGCCATTTTATCATCATTTTTCAGTTAGAATTACATAGTAGTATTAAAACAGCAAAAATCTAATGAGTAAATTTTACTTTTATTTTATTTAAAATTTAAAATTTTAATTTCTTAAGTTAAATTTTTTTAAATTGAAGTATAGTTGCTTTACAATATTGTGTTAGTTTCAGGTGTATAACAAAGTGATTCGTTTATACATATGTATGTGTGTATATTTTTATTTTCCTATTTTTTCTATTATAGTTTATTCCAAGATATTGAATGTAATTCCCTGTGCTGTATAATAAATCCTTGTTGTTTATCTATTTTATATATAGTCATATGTATCTGTTAATCCCTGACTCTCAATTTATCCCTTCATCCTTCTCCCTTTGGTCACCATATGTTTGTTTTCTTTGTCTGGGAGTCACTTTCTGTTTTGTAAATAAGTTCATGTGCATCATATTTTAGAGTCCACATATGAGCGATCTCATATGGTGCTTTTCTTTCCTTTCTGGCTGACTTCACTTAGAATGACAATCTCCAGGGACATCCATGTTGCTGCAAATGGCATTATTTAATCCTTTTCATGGCTGAGTAGTATTCCATTGTATAAATCTACCACTTCTCCTTTATCCAGTCATCTGTTGATGGACATTTAGGCTGTCTCCATGTCTTGGCTATCGTAAATAGTGCTGCTATGAACATTGGGGTGCAGGTGTCATCCTGAATTAGGGTTCCTTCTGGATATAAGCCCAGGAGCAGGATTCCTGGGTCATACGATAAGTCTATTCCTAGTCTTTTGAGGAATCGCCATACTGTTTTCCACAGTGGCTGCACCAAACTGCATTCCCACCAGCAGTGTAGGAGGGTTCCCCTTTCTCCACAGCCTCTCCAGCATTTGTCATTCATGGACTTTTGAATGACGGCCATTCTAACTGGTGTGAGGTGATACCTCACTGTAGTTCTGACTTGCATTTCTCTGACAATTAGCGATACTGAGTACCCTTTCACATGCCCGCTGGCCATCTGGATTTATGTCTTCTCTGGAGAAACGTCTGTTTGGGTCTTCTGCCCATGTTTGGGTTGGGTTTTTTTGTTTTTGTTGTTACTAAGTTGTATGAGCTGCTTGTTTGTTTTGGAGGTTAACTGGGCAAATTTTAAAGATTTAATTGGCTTTACTGAAGGATTCATGACTCGGGCACGCTGGCTAATGTGTGTGGAACATGTGAAAAAAAGGACATAACTAATAAATAATGTGGTTGAGCCTCACAGATGATAAAGAGGTGGAGAACCGCTTCCTAACTTTAAATCGGCCAAGTTTTTAAAAAAGCTACTTTCCATTCTGGGCAAAGGCCCAGTAAGGCGGGCTGTTCAAGGCAGTTGGTGGAGGTGTAAGTGGTACGAGGTTTGTGGAAACACTTCAGCATTGGGTGTCAAGGACCTTGAAGACGCCAAGCCTTGAAGACTCCTGCTTGTGGTATTTATTCCATTTCTCTAAAGTTCGTCTAGGTTCCAGAGTATAGTCGGCCGTGGCGAGAAGATCAACGACCTGGCCTTCTTGGTGGAGATCCAGGACCTCGCCGAGGAAATTTACGAAGTGATGGACAAGGCACAAAACTTGCAAACACTCTGGGTAGAAAGATCCAAGACCCCAGGCAAGTAAATCCGTCCAGCTGTCCACGCTCAGCTCCCGTGCGGCTGTGAGACCCAGAATGGCTTTAGAATCCTGTTTACGTTCATCAGTGTGGGCGTAGCTGTCTCCCAGGCAGGATTCTGGGGATGGTCCGCGTGGTTTTAGAACCCAGACAGGCGCTGGGCAGAGCGTTCTGACTGCTGAGTGAACTAAGCTCTGAAACCTTCTTTCTCGTAGGTGCCTCTGATGGCTCCAGCTTTTTATCAGTAAGTATCTTCACAAAAGCCTGAGACTCAGTCTTCGGGGACGTAACGTTCAAACACCGGCTTTGAGTTTATCTTTCCAGCCCCTCTCGCTGAGGGTCTGACCGTCAGTAGCGCTGTGCGGGGAAGGGTCCGGGGCCTCCGGCAGCCACTCACGAGATGGGTGCAAAGCTGAGGTTTAAGTTCCCACGCCGGGCTCCGGGCCCGGAGAAAGCAGAAGGGGCACCGTGAGGCCCCGAGGGTGGTGGGTGACCCAGAGCGAGGGGCCTTGTAGGACGGCCTCGCGGTCCGTCTGACCCTGTCAGGACGGAGGGTCACGTGCTTGGCCCACACCTTGGCTTTCCTTGCAGCACATCCCCTCGGTGAAGGCGCTTGTTCGCGGCGTGGGCACGTTCCGCTTTCCCAGGACGTTTGACAATGTGCGGGCGTGTTTTAGGTTTTCACACCCGGGTAGGGGGCTGATGTCACGCTGGACCATCGGAGGCCTGGGGTTGGTGTTGCTGTCGGTCCTTCAGCTCCCGCGGGAGGCAGATGGTTGAACTGAACATTGAACTGCCCTGGAATACTTTTTTTCCTCCTTGGTTGAGGGTAGTTAGTTTTACTTAGTAATTTATTTTTAGAGGAGGCACTGGGGATTGAACCCAGGACCTCGTGCATGCTAAGCACATGCTCCACCACTGAGCTCCACCCTCCCCCCTGGTTTTATGTCATGACTGTGTTGTCAAAATATTCTTTTAACCGCATTTAAAATCTTTACCTTCCTCCAGACTTAGAGTCTCTTGACTGTTGCATCAAAACCAGTGTGGTGCTGGGGAGGGCGGGGGGGCGTTTTGTGTGGGTGGACACCCCAGTTATGGACCTGGGCGTCAGCTGGGACTGTGGTCTGTGTAGGAACGGAAAAACCCAGAACAACAGTGGGGCTTCCAGTTCTGTTCATATTGGAACGGGTCACCTTTTCTGTCCAAAATCTATCTCAAAATCTTAGAAATCAGTCCACCTTGTTACAAAAACAGACCTGTGCCTCTCTGCCCAAACTTCCACAACGTTAACAAAACAAAACAAGACAAAAACACGTGCGGACTGATTTTGAAATCTTCCCTGTTCAAATAGTGACGGATTCGGTGTGACTCTCCCCCACCCCGGCTTCTGCCTCCTTAAGAGCTTTGCAGCTCTGCCCCCACCCCCGTCATTTAACTGATGTACGAAACTAAAGAGGGAACCTTGGGGCATTTTCCTTCTGTCAGATGGACCTCAATCAGACCGAGGAGGCGATAGTGACACTGGAACGTCTGCTCCGGCAGCCCCAGGTCTGGGACTTCCTCCTTTCCCTGCCGGGGCTGTTCGCGCACAACGTGCACGTGGAGGACGGCGTCCGGGCTGCACTTCACCTGCTCTGCGCGGTGTTCAAGTACGTTGAAAACAAGAACAGGACGAGTCGCAGGAGGGGATTCTGACAGTGGGGAGCCTGGCCTTGTGCAAAGAGCGTTGGGATTGCTTCCTGGAGCAGGAAGTCCCACCAGCCGCCCTTAAACCCTACAGCAGCGAGTCCTAGCACCTCTCGCCGCGGCCGAGAGGGGGATCGAAGATGTAAGAAGACATTGAATCCTAGGATTCTTCTGGCATAAATAGCAGACTTTTTTATTTTCCATAATATACCTTTTCCTTTACATTTTCTAGCTCACTTTATTTACTTAAGTTTGTGTGTGTGTGTGTGTGTGTCTGGGTGGACGGCAGTAATTAGATCTGCTTACTTATTTTTTGGAAGAGGGACTGGGGATTGAACCCAGGGCGTCGTGCCTGCTAAGCACGCGCTCTACCCCTGAGCTGTGCCCTCCCCCCAGCTGCAGACTTATCTTTAATGATCAGGCGTAGAAACCCACTGAGTAAAGTCATTTGCAGTGCGTTGTTTCCGGTGCAGGAGGCGGGCTTTAAGCTCAGCTGCATTTGCAGGTTTCTAACACATTGCCAGATGCTCACGTTAATTTAATTTCTGTTGGGAAACCACACTTTGCAGGCAACATTTCATTCATGTTTCACTACAGACCAGTTCATCATCTTGAAAAAATATGGTAGGTTGAATTTGTCTTGAATTGATTGACTTTCTTCTGATTCTGAAACAGTTGTGTTACTATTACAGGGTCTTAACTTCCGCAGAGGGACTTCTGCTGGTGGAAGAGAAGTTGCACGCCCTTGGGGATGAGCAAGTGGGCTTTCTTTCATCTTTCATGGAATATTTGGAGAAATTTTTATTGCCAAATCTTTTCGACTCGGACGGGGCTCCCAGATTCCATAACCTCTCATTTCTCTCCGAGACTATTCTAAATACAAGTCATTTGTGGATAAGTCGTTTTAAAAGTTTAGAGAGAGACCCATCTACGCAGACACTTCTGGAATTCGGCGAAGAGATGATCAAAAAAGTCCAAACTCTTGAAAGTCTCTGGGTAAGGAAGGAATCAAGAAATATCTCGAGACTCATGGAACTGGTACTTTTTCAAATTAACCCCAAGTTACTGGATTTGTGGATGCGTGGCCTTTCGGAAGGAGAAAGAGCTAAACTGGAAATCTTGCCTACAACTGCAAATTTTTCTGATCCAGAAAGTGAGACGGTTCTCAGGAAAAGCCTTAACTTTTCCCAGTTGTTCCGTTCAGATGGGCCTACATCGCCAGCCACGGAAATGGATTTTGTTCGTTTAAGTGAAATTATGATAAAAAGTCTCCAAGAATTTGGATTTCTGAGGCAGGAGCAGGTCTCGAAAGCTGTGGACACAGTCTACGCCCTGAGGAACGCATCTGATCGTTTCTCAGCCCTTTCGGAACCTCAGAAACGAGACGTTGCTCAAATGTTGACTCATCTGTATGTCAGTGTCTTCCAGGACCCAGACGCAGCCTTGCTTCTGCAGATTTATTGTTCATTTTACCAAAGCATGAATCAGCTCTTGAGCATTCGGACTGGAGAATCTTTGCTGTCTTTCCTGACACAAACCTCAAAACACATTTTGAACCTCACAAAGCAGTTTGATCTCCAAGAGTTCAGTAAAGCAATTACGTTCTTCCATGAAACAGCGAGGGTTCTCGGGGGAGTTTCTGAAGCATCTTCTTGTCAGCAGTTGCTTGCGATTTTTAACGTTTTGGAGCATCAAGGCCAATCCCCAGTGTCTGCAGAGGGCCCAGAAACGGCAGCGATCCACGCGACTCTGACGGGCCTCAGGCAGCTCCTCACCGTGGACGAGGATTTCCGTGTTGCTTTGCTTCAGTACGTGAGCCAGCTCTTCAACGGCTCAGTAGAAGCCCTGCTGGGGAATGAATGCTCTGTTTTGGGTGATAAAAGCATTTCTCCTGTGAACTATTCGATAGATGGGGGGTCTTCAGTCATTCCTCCGTGGGCTCAGATCCTTTCCAGCCTCTCAGCCAACGGCAGTAAACTCAGTGAGTTTATGGGGGTCCGTTGCACCATCTCATGGCTTCAGATGTGGACTGAAGTCTGCACGTACGTGGCTCGGGTATGTCAGCTGGACGTGAATGTTCTCAGTCCTCTCCACGATGGCCTCACTCAGCTTTTGGGTGAGCTGGAAAGAGATGTGAACATTCCTCGGGGCTGCCCGGGACTGTTTCCCACCCATCACCCTGCTCGCCTCTTACTACATTTGTTTAAAAATTTAACCCCACCGGATGGCTTTCACGATTGGAACAACGTTCTGAGTCTTAAGGGCCTCTCGGCAGCATTAAGAGATGGGTTAGTCAGAGCAAAGCTGCTCCGCCTGGACCACGTGGAGAAATTCCTCTTCACCGTGGAAACTGCCCTGAGTCAGCTAAAGTCACTCCCATCAAACACGCCTGGGAGCAGAGACTTCTTACGTTCTGTGCTTGACGTTTTCATGGAATTGAGCAAGACTGCAGAACAGACGGAGAGACGTGTCCATCGGACCCGTCGCTTTCTTTCAAATAATCTCTCAAATTATGAAGCAGAGTTTGCAAGTCTCATTCCTCGCCTGAGAGAAACGGTATTATTTCTTAAAAATGTGTCTCGCGACCGAGATTTACCGTCCTGTGCTGACGTCTTCCGAAATGTAACGGAGTTTATTTTGGAAGGTGGCCTATGCTGTGTGAATACTTCGCAGAGGACGTGGCACCTCCTGGCCGTGTTAAATTCCACGTTTTCCTCCGAGGACGCAGTTAGCAGACTGGAGGGGTGCGTCGCGTGGATAGACGCCGTCAGCCGTCTGTGTGTGATGGGTAACTCCAGCTTTTCACAAGGCCGTCCTCAGGGCCTTTTGGGGAGCTTCGCGGACGTGGAAGACAAAATTAACTCCACCTTGAAGCTTGTTACTTGGCTGTTGGCTGGAACGGAACCCAGCTGTTCACCGAATACGTCAAATATGAATTGTGTGAATGCTTACTTAAAAAACGTGACTGCCTTGCTGAACGCGATACTTGCTACAGTCTTTGAGAAAGAAGGGGTTCCCGAATTTGAGATTTTATCAACTCTTTTCAATGATTCCACAAACCAAGTCAAGATGGTTATCGGCCACTTGATGAGAGACTTCGACTTTCTGTCTCAGTCCAACTGGACACGTTTCACTGAGCTGATTCTAAAACCCATCGAAAGAGCAGACAAAATGCCGCATCGATTTCAAAACATCTGGCTGCATTTGGCAGCTCTGGGGAAGGGAGTTCAAACACTTGTGAAAGGTATTTCCGCTAATGTCCTGGGAAATGACACCTCTTCTAAAACTGAAAAAATTGTAAAGGTATTTGCTACCAGTGCAAGGGAAACAGACATACACGGTGTAGGCAACTCATTGTATCAGTTGGCTAGTTACCTTGCTCTCAATTTATCTCACGATCCCCAACATCCGCCCAGAACAAGTACGCATGAAATGCTGAAAGCTGTGGGTCTCAGCATGCAACTGGCGAGGGACGTGTTCAACTCCCTGATGCACTCAGTTTATCGAAATGTTCCGCAAGACCCAGACAATTTCCAAGTTGTAAAGAAGGTGGCTTCTCTCCTGCGCAGTCTCAAGAAGATGGACATAGACCTGCTGGTAGGTCAGGTGGAACAAATCGGTGACAGCCTGGTGGGTTTCTTTCAGAATGTCAGCCGGTTAGGTCCTGGCAGTTTGGGGGTCAACTTGCTCGTTGACCTGATGGAGAAGCTTGTAGACAGCTCCCGCGCCTGGAACGTCAACCCCCTGCTGAGGCTCTCACGTCTGTTTCCTAAAGATGACTTGAGCGCCGTGGTGGACGCGTACCACGGGCTCCCTCACGCCGTGAGGCTCCTGCGGGGAGCGGCGGACAAAAACGTCACGGCCGCCCTCAAGGACGTCTACAACTTCACCCTTCTCCACGGCACCCGCATCGCCAACGTCAGCAAGGAAGACTTCGCCGAGGTCATCAAAACTCTTTCGGACACGATTGAACTCATCTCAGATAAACCTGAAGTTCTTTCCGAGGCTTTAACGTGTCTCCCTGTGTTTTGGTGCGGGAATCACTCAGCTTCTGGACTCCGGCAGAACCCCGAGTTCGAAAGCTGTGCTGCCCGCGTGCTCACGTTCCCAGCCTTGTACAGCGGCGTGGCCGGCGTACTTGCCCACCTGCGTCTGTCTGCCCCAGCGGAGGAGTCACGGTGTTTAAATGAAAGCTCACAGGAGGAAGTAACTCGGAAAGTGGTCTGTGCGATGCATGAATTAATGGACTGGAACTCCATTCTTCTAGAGCTGTCTGAAGTCTTCCGTGTTAGAACTCTGCTGGTGAAAAATGTGCAAGACTTTTGGCAAAAGGTGTTGCCATTTGTCGCGGCTCCTGGAAATCACAGCAGGGGGAGCCTCTCTGAACTTTGTCCCCGTGGGCCCATCAAGCAAGTTGCTTTGCAAATTATAGAAAAATTAAAAAATGTCAACTTTACAAAAGTCACATCGGATGGCAACCTTCCTGACAAGCTAGCTAGTTTAAACGTTGACGAAGCAGAAGCATCTGCTCGAAATCATACTTTCTTAAATTTGGAAAGGGTAATGAACTTGCTTTCTGGCGACCAGAGCCTAGGGAACAGTACGAATTCTCTCGTCTCCCCCTTCACGATGTTTCTGAATGCAAACCTTACGGGTCGTGCTTTACAAGCATTGTCAAGTTTTATTAAAAAAAGTGAGGCTGCTTCTAGCCTTGAAGAACTTGGGCTTGAGTTTGACCGAATCCTGGAAGATCTCACCCATGACTTGAGTATCGGGCCCCTGTTTTCTGAAGGAAACAAAGAGATGCAAATGGCTCATTCAGCTCTTCTTCAAAACATAACTTTGCAGCTTGCCCGTTTTTTGGAAAGCCTGGATTCATTGTCCCTGAAGGCGTTGGAAATTGCTGAAGATTTTTTATTGGCTGTTAAAAAGTGGCTTCATGAATTCACAAAGGGAGGTTGCTCCAGAATGATACAAACGTTATTTCTCCTTGCGGCCGACGGGAGTTCAGCTGATGATACAGCCTCGTTGGCCAAAGACGTTACCGCCCTTTGGGATTATCTCAGAAACGTGTCTGGGGAAGGTCATTTGAAGGTTGCCTTTCTCCCTCATCTGCTCAACCAAGAACGGCTAACTGATTTCTCAGTTGTTCGGCTGCTTTTCGAAAGCTTCCTGAGCAATCGGACCGATACCTTAGCAGCCGTGGACGTAAGTGATGTGGGCCTTCGGGTAGTGGATTTCATCGGCCGCGCCTTGAACCAGACGCCGTCGGAGGATGGCGGGAGGCTCACCGTCCCTCCGAGGAGCATGGTGGATTTCACGGAACGGCTTTTGGAGACATTCTTCTCATTTTTTCTAAAGGAAAATTCTGGGGACAAAATGGCTCTTCTGCTCAAAGACGTCCACGGAGATACCTCAGCAGAGATGAGGTGAGTCTGCTCTTATAGGCGCTGTGTGTTACAATCAGCTTCGTTTCCTGGAATATACGAATGCCACTAATCGTGTTGTACAAGCACCTCTGAACCATCTTCGAGGTGAATGTTGGTCTTAATGAACATCAAGGGTAAATAATTTCGACGATTGTCATCTAACTAGTGAACATGTATATAAACCTGTCCCCTGGCAATTAGTCACTTACTGCAGTTTCCTGTATTTTTGGATTATGGAGATAATTAAGAAATTCTATTTCATATAGAATTGAGAAATTAGTTATTCTATACGTAGATGCATATATACCATGGACGTATTTTGAGTTAATGCATTAACTGTCTAATCACAAATGAAGGGTTTAAATGTTTTCGTTCCAATGAACCTGCTGTGATGTTTACATTTGCAATTGATCAAACTTTAAAATTTTAAAACTGATAGATTATTTTTTTCCCCCACGTATCTTTATTTTTTAATCCCTTTTGAAGCTTGCCAGTGAGACGGCTGGAGGGAAATTCTGATTCTGTGTCTGTGTCAGTCAGGGCTCAACCACAGAGGTAGAACCAGAACAAGGGTTTCGTGCAAGGAATTGGCCGCCACCCTTTGGGGGGCTGGCCGAGCGGGTCTGGAGTCAGTGGGTAGGCGGTCAGGAAGGATGCTGTGTCTAGGTGGGTTTGCTGGGTCAGGAGGCCCTAAACGCTCTCTGAAGACCTTCCAAGTGGTGAAGCCAGGCTTACCCAGGGCAGTGTCCCATCTCACCAGCTTACAGCTGACTGCTGGGGGCGCGGAGTCTAGTTAAATCTGCAAAACCTCTTCAGAGCATCAGTTTAACGTGTCTCAGCATTTATGCTGCTCCAGAATAGCCATCCTCCGCTCTCTCGAGGAAATCGCCTGTGTGGCTCGGCCAGACGGGACACGTACCAGGAAGGGGTGCCGGGGCTGTCGCTCTACCTGGCCAAGCTAACGCGTCACAGAGCCACCACGATGTCCCTGTGACTCGCTAGGACGCTGACCGTCCAGAAAGATGTTGCCTTTTACACTGACGATCACCTTATCCTCATTTTATGCTCCTTTCTTTTCTAGAAACAAAAGTACACAGCTTTTTATGGGTGTTAGATTTGAGGCGTTGTAATGGAATTATCCATGAAATTCATCCACTGTTTTCATTCTTTGGCAACAAAATATTAATTTCGTTTGGGAAGTATCAATTTTATTCTCCCATCTTGCTACTAGAAAGCAAAAAAAAAAAGCACAGTTGATCTTTGAACAACTGCATGGACCGACCCACTTATCTGTGGATTTTCCCCGTTTATACGCACTACAGCACCACCTGGTCCATGGTGGGTTGAACCCATGAGTACAGAAGTGTAGACACGGAGGACTGGCTGCAAAGTTACACTGAAATTTTCATCTGCGCAGAGGGTCTGTGCCTGTAACCTTTGGGTTGTTCAAAGGTCAACTGTGTATGTTTTAAATCTTTCCACTGCTAACCATGAAATTAAAAAAATATATGTATATTTACAGTTTTGTCCTAAAGGATAAAATCCTAGACATTTTGAAAGCAGATCAATTTCTTACCTCCGTGAAAGAAGACAGATTGAGGAACATTTTTTCAACTTTAAAGGAGACTCTGCACCATTTAGTCAAACACTCATTTACAGTAGACGGTGGAGGATTCTATGTGGATAATGATCAAGGATGGATGTTTATGAGAGATTTATTTACCCGTCTTCTCACGGAAACCTTCTCACTGAAAAACAAGACAGATAACGACTTGGGGTTTCTTACGGCGGTGGTGAAGCACTTGTTTTCGGAGAAGAACGGTTCCGAGGACCTTGTCAAATTCAATCGAGATCTGAGGGCAGCTCTTCGCCTCGTGAGAGAAGCTTCAGCCGGGATGGCAGGTCTCCTGGACACGCTCTCGAACTCCCCTGTTAAGGACTTCCTTGGCGCATACCCTGCCCTCCAAGAAGTCATACTTGCCAATTTAACCGACTTGCTTTCCTTGGCAAATAACTCATTCCTTCTAAGAAACAGAGCAACGCTGGAAATTACTGAGAGGTTGCTGGGTGTGGTTGCAAGAGCTGGTGGGCACGGTCAGGTCCTGGAGCCCCTCCTGGAAATGTCTGATGCTCTGATCACGCTGGTGCGGGACGGTGCTGCTTTGAGACGTCTAGCCGCGTCCGTGAACTCCACCGTGGGACTTCTCAACCTGGCCAAGGGCGTTTCAAGGAGGATGGCCTCTCTGGTTGCAGCTCATTTCAGCGCCAGCGCCAATGACACCATGAAAATCTTGGACACTCTTTATTCCGTTTTGCAACAAAGTGTTCGAAATGTCGTGAATGAAACAGCTACAGTGAAAAAAGGAGATCAGTTACTGTTTGAAAAGATAGATGACTTGTTGACACCATTTCTTGACTTGGCTTTTGGGATGATTGGAGTCAAACCTAGTAGTTCACAGGACTCTGATATTTTCAACATGTCAGCTCGCGTATTCGCTTACGTGAACCAGTCCAAAGAGTTTTATGATCTTTCGGAAGAGATAGCTGGGTTTCTAAGTTCTGTGAACATCGATGCGGGAGACGTGGAACATCTCGTGGTAGCATTTAACAATGAGACCGAAGGGTTTCCCGTGGATTCTGTCAGCTTGTGGGAAGAAATCCTGGCTTGCTTAATTCCTATAAATAACATCGCCAACCAGATAGAGTTTTTATTCTCGAATCCAAGTTCCACTCGTGATGGCCCTCAAGACACAGCGTGGGGAAGACTTCATGATGTGGTCCTGTTTCTGCGTGAAATGCTCTCACAAAACAGCACAGAAATAGAGGCTTACTGGAGACAGGGGATTGGTCACATCTTAGAAGCTCGTTGGAACGACTTGGGGGAGGATGTCCGGAAGGTGTTTGATCTGTTGCCGTCACCGGCTCAGCATCCAGACGAGCTTTGGAAAGCCATAAAAACCGCGGCGGGGGTCCCCGGCGGGCTCACAAGGGACTACTCGCGTGGTGCGAGTGAAGCTTTGCTTTTCAGCACCTCTGTGATTCAGAACGTCACTCGTCAACAGCTCGGAGAGGCGCTCGCGACGGTGTTGGGTGCGATGGCTCTCCCTCACTGGGCACGTTCCCCGGGAGCCTGGCTTCAGCCCGTTGCTGAGATTTTCATTAACGCCACCACTGGAAAGAACATCACGTCAGGAGCAGAAGAGACGCCAGAGACGGGGCAGGCTGATTCCCCTTCCCCTCTCACACCGGTACCACGTTGCGAGAAGTTCCTGAAGGGCTTAATTGCATGGACTGAATACTGGCAGGAGGTCTCACTGTCAGATCAAAGGTAAGAAAGCCCCTAAATTCTCTTCATCTTCCCCCCGCTGCAGTAACCGCAAAATAGAGCCACGCAGGAGCTGCACTGAACCAGGGTGGGCGGTCCTTCTGGACTTATACGTACATCACAGTCTGGAGTTGGCTTCCCCGGGGAATGGCTCAAGTCCAGCCTCTTTGCTGTTTGGTTCATTATTTGGCACTTGGTGGGAAGGGGTTAGATTTGGGAGTTTGAGATTGTGAATGTTAATATATATATGTAAAAACAGTATATACGTTAGTTTAAATATAAAACTATATATAAAACAGTATATAGTTATAAATGTTAGTGTGTGTATATATAAACGATATATAAAAACAAATAAAAAAACCCAAATGTCTTCTGTGTAGCACAGGGAACTATATTCAATATCTTGTAATAACCTTTAATGAAAAAGAATATGAAAATGAATGTATGTGTGTATGTGCATGGCGGGGACATGGTGCTGTGCACCAGAAATGGGCACACTGTATCTGAATATATTTCAGTTTTAAGCAAAAAAGAGTGAATAGAAGTGAGGAGGAAGGAAAAAAGTACTATATGAATTTATTCTAGGTTTTTCCAAAGTGAATTCTCTTTTTGAAAGTAAAATCCTCTTATTCAATTCACGGGGCCCAAGGCCAGGGAGATACACAGGTGCTTCTGGCCACGTGCCCCGGCAGCCCGGGGTCCTGCCGTGTGACACGCAGATAGAAGGTGGAGCTGGGGCGGGACCTGGAGAAAAACAGTATTCCATGGTTTATAAATAAAACACCCAAAGTTTAAAAACGATGGAAAGAAAGAAACCTGTTCTTGAAAGGCCCAGTGCTGGCGGTTCTCCATGGAGGGGGTTTGCACTGTGCCCCGAGACTGGAAGCTACTGGGCTGGGAGCTGGCCACCCCAGCTTTTAAATTCACACGGCTTGGCTCCCAGTTTCATTCTACTCGGGTGATACCTCGCTTGCACCCTTCCTCCCGTTTCACTCTCCCCTGATCGTGGACTTCCTGAGTGAGTTCACAAGGTGCCTCAAACAGAAGCCCCCGCTGGTTGTGGGTTTAAGGCCCGACTGGCCTGACTCTGATGTGAGTCTTGGCTCTGATGTTCAGTAGCTTTCTGAATCTAGGCAAGTCCTGTCAGCTTTCTTTCTTTTTTTTTAAATGACGTCACTTTATTTTTATTTTATTTTAGTTTTTGCTGAGGGGGGAGGAAATTAGGTTTCTTTATTTTTTTAATGGAGGTACCGGGGGTTGAACCCAGGACCTGGTGCCTGCTAGGCACACCCCCTACCACTAAGCTTCACCCTCGCCACCCCCTTTAAGCTTTCGGAACCTCCCTTTATGTGTAAAGCAGGGATAACAGTGATACCTTTCTGGGGTGTGGTAAGGGTTCTACAATAAAATAAATTTCAGAGATGTGAGTTTAACCCATGAAACATATTAGTAATAAAACAACAACCACGGACATCTAGGCAAAAAAATTAGCTTAAAATAAACTAATAAGAACCATCACAAAACCCCTAAAAAGGTGGAAAGTTCCATTAACATCCTGAAGATTCACCACGAGGTTCCTGGAGCTCGGACGCCCTGATGGCAGAGGTCGGGTGTCTAGAGCACATCTGGGCAGAATTCATTTTTCCTGCCTCCTGCTTCGGTGCCTACAGTTGTGCAGGGAAGGGAGGCTTGATCACGCCAGACCTGAATCCGCTGTGTTCTGTCCCAGAGAGCCCTCTGGCCCCTTGTCCCCTCCCCGCTGTGGGGCCTCGTTCAGCAGCCCTCTCTTTTGTGAGCATCCCCGTTGACTGCTCATGCCCCATCTGTGTTACTCCCGGTTAGAATCAAATTCCATTTCCGAGGGAACCTGCTTCTGAGCTGTTTGCATCCCTTAATCGATCAGAGGGAAAAGGCAGGCACCTCCACCTACCTGCTCTTCCCTCGTGTCTGAAGCCTTCCCAGTGCCGTGTGGGATAAGCAGAGCACGGCGTCCACCTGAGGGGGTCGGGGGACACGTGTATCCCCTTTGCTCCACAGTGTGAGGTCGGGGGACCAGCAGCCTCAGCTGAGAGCTGGTCAGAAATGCAGGTTCCAGCCTGTCCCCCCCCCGGCCCAGCCCAAGCCTGCGGTGGGCCCCCAGACCGTCCACAGGATGCATTAGTTTGTGCAGTGCTCCCCTGGACCACGCTCCCCACACTGGCGGTCAGCAGACCAGGACCTGGGACAGCTCAGCGCCTTCCTCTGCTGAGCGAGGCTGGCAGTGGCCGCTGGTGACCCCACACCGACTCTGTCAAATAAGCACTCTTCTGCTTCCATGTCCACGGTCACTTTGGCACAAGGGATTTGTGACAATTAAAACCCTGCAGTTTACGCAAAATACATGTTACCTGCGTGAGTGCTGGGCTTTGTGGGGTCCACTTGGGTGACGTGGAGAATGAGCCTCCAGACCAGCTTTTAATAAAGCCGCATTTTCCACATCACTCGAGTGGGCTCCGTAAAGACCAGCATCCATGCACGTGCACACATATACATGTGAACACATGCACAGTGCAAACACATGCAGACATAGCACACATGTAAATGCATGCATGCACGTGTACACACATGCACACGTGCAAACACACGAATGCAGAGACAAGCACGCACGCACACATGTAAATGCATGTACACCTGCACATGTGCAAGCACACACACAGACGTAGCACACATGCACACATGTAAATGCACACATGTAAATGCATGCGCACACATGCACATGCAGATGCATGCACACATGTAAACAATATGCGCACACATGCAAGGACACAACATGCACACGTATGTGTACACACACTTGCAAACACGCATGCAGAGACACATGCACACATGTAAATGCACGCACGCACACGCAAATGCACGCACAGTTGTAAACACAATACATGCACACGTAAGCATACAACGTGCATACACACACATATTTAAACACATAAACCCACCCACACATGTAAACACAGATGCAAACACATAATACATGCACACAACACACGCGCACATGTAAACACACATGCACACACGTAAACACACAGACACACATGTGCATACAGGTAAACACACATGCACATGCGGCTTCCTCACCTTGACTTCCGTCTTGCTTTCCCTCTTGATGCCCTTCCATCCTGGACCTTTGCATTTCAAGAGGCTGGACCATGACCACAAGAGAGAGCACTTCTCAGGTTCACGAGCAACACAATGCTCTGAATTGAAACGGGGGACCCGCCGCTCTCCAGTCCGTGTCTCCTGTGATTTTCATGGAGTAGACGGCTGGGCAGGGAGACGGTTCCTTCACATGTGTTACGACTTTTCCTTGCACAGAGAAGTGGTGCTCCCAGTTGCAGACTTTCCCCTTTAATGAGGTTGTCTGTTTCTTCCCTAAGTGTTGCTGAACTGTGTCGGGCTTTGCAGCAGCCTGTGGAGCCCCTGGAAGCTACGGCGGCCCTGCGGAGAGCGGGGATGCTGGCCCTGCGCGCGCTGGTCCTCCTTGCAGGTGGGTGCGTCTGCGCGCGGGTGCCCGGGGCCTGCGTCCGGAGCTCGGCTGTCCGCGCCATGGCTCGTGAGCTGCTCTTGGACTAAAGCGCGGCCTTCCTGCCTGATACCCGAGGGCCCTGAGGGCCTGGTCCACCCCTCCTCCCCAGCCCCACCATGGAGATGCTTTTCCAGCTGAGGGCATCCACCCCTTCCCCTGCCCCTGAGCTTGGCTTCTGGTCCCTGCGTCTTTGCTCGTGGAATGTGCCCCCTGTCCTTCTGAGCTGCCCTGTGGCTGGAGAAGGCACGCCCTCGTCTCCTGGGTGGGCAGTGACCTGAGCAGACAGCATCAGTGCTCTGATCTCGTACGTCCGCCTCCTCTAACGGAGTCACTGTTCCTTGGAGGCTGCGGCCATGTGGTCGCCTTCTGTGCACATCCACGCGGTGACCTGAATTCCCAGAACCCTTTCTCTGAACTCCCGGCATTTTTACTTATATTTGAGTTTCCTGGTAGCTGCTTCTGCAGCCGTTTGCAACTTCACGGAGAGCAGGATCTGCTCCTTGTTCGGTTCCGTCTCCGTTATACTCAGCTTAGTGTGTCCCCGGGGGTAATTCATACTCAATTGTGAATGAATGAATTTGTCTCCTGAGATCCGACCTGCCAGATCCGTTGCTACAGATTTGAGTGAAACTTCCTCTCGAGGCCGTTGTTGGAGGAACGGACCGTGAGCTGCCCTCTGGGCTGGCTGGGTGCCTTTGATGACTTTCTCTGAGATGCGCACACGAGGTCTCAGAGCCCCTCCGCGTCCACAGACAGGACCAAGGCTGCTTACGTAGCTTCGCACCCGCTCCCAGGCTGCTGCTTTTTGTGGCTTGGCCACCTGCACGAGACTGCAGCCGCCCTGTTGGTGCTGCCAGGGACGGGGTCCTTGCAAACGCTGATGGCAGCGGGTGTGGGCTGATGGGTGTGAGCCCAGGGCAGGAGGGGCAGGGAGGAGAAATGGGTCTGATCACACTAAGAGCAGAAGAGGGGGCCAGGGGCCAGCTGAGGGGCCTTGAGCGCTGGTGGAGCCCGCCAGCCTCAAATCAACTGTGCGCGTAATTCCGCCTTCATACTGAGTGACGGGGGACACTACCCGTCCCTACTCCTGGCCAGCAGGAGAAAGCCAAGACTGTCCTGGGCAAACTGGGGCCACCAGGTAGCCTGCCTCGGGGGACAGGAGAAGGGCCCGTGTGGGGAGGTGGGGGGAGGCGCTCACTGCCCTGCATTCAGTGGGGCCCAGAGAAAACCAGGTCTTCACTTGGTTACATTTGAGTCCCTGAAGGTACAGCCTCCCCCTCGTACTCTGAACCTTCATCTTGATGATTTAAGAAATCTTTGCGAATCTGTACCGTTTTGAATGTTCAAAAAGTGATTTCGAGATTTGCAGATACACACTGCTGCATATAAAACAGATAAACAACAAGGGTCTAAGGTGCAGCACAGGGAACTCTATTCAATACCTCGTAATGACCTATACTGAGAAAGACCATGAAAAGGAATGTACGCATGTGCATGTATGACTGAAGCGCTGTGCTGTGCACCAGAAATCAACACAGTGTTGTGAACTGACTAGACTTTGATAAAAACATATAAATGCAAAAAATACGATTTCATGCAAGTGGCTAGCTGGGGAGCGGACAGTTTCCTGATGGCTTCTCTCTGTGTGTTTCCCCCGGCAGAAAACCCTTCCTGGACCGAGGACGTCCTCTGTGTCCCTCTGAGTGATGAGCAGGGCTGGATAAGGCACCTCGCTTTATCTGTTCTCCGAGGGGTCGCTCTGGTGCAGGACCACCTCCAGGTGTGTTGGCTTTGCTGTGCCCGAGGCTGGCCTGTCCATGACGACTGGCCCACGCTAGGCAGCCCCGTTATACTGCGCTTGCTGGCTCGGTCCCCAGAAGCGAGGTGACGGCAGTGCGCGGTCACGGGGGCGGTCGGGGCGGCAGAGCGCGTGTTGACAAGTCCCCCGCGGCTTCTCCGGTGGCCGGTGCCGACTCCTGTGCACCGGCTGCTACGCTGTCAGGAAGTTTGCACGCTGGTTCTTACACGTAGACGTCATTGATGGTTACATTCTGTAGACGTGATAAAAAGTTGAACTCAAACGTACTGGATACACGGATTCATCGCTTCCTAGTCCCTTTCGTGTGTTTTGCTGATGTCTGTTCTCCTGAGATCGTTTATAGCTCTTGCGTCTAGACGGTGGGACACCACGTGCCTCTCTCTTCTCAAGTCTGTGCTGGGGTGTCATGTCGGCTGCTTGGACTGGTTCCACGGTGGGAGCACTCACACCGAGAAGGCAGCCTGTGTGACAGACGAGGTCTGTGTTTCTTCAAAGAGCCGTCATTGCCCATTTACTGGCCCCGCGTGGGGTGTGACCGGCAGCGCACTGGCAAGTTCCAGGGGCTCAGAGCTGACGGGAACCGGCGTGGACGTCCTCTTTGCCTTCCCTGGGGCTTTTATCCGGGGCCGACGCCACTGCCCCGACGTTAACGAGCTCTGGGCCCATGGGCATCACCCCTGAGCTGCTGGGGAAGCCTGCACGATGGAGTTTTTTTTTTTTAATGCAACTGATACCAATTTTTTTTTAATTTAAAAATCTTTTTGGGGCGGGGAGGTCATTAGGTTTACTTACTTATTTAGGTTTTAGAGGAGGGACCGGGGATTGAACCCAGGACCTCGTGCATGCCAAGCACGCGCTCCGCCACCGAGCTCTGCCCTCCCCGTGCCCCGGGTCCAGCTCTGAACATTGCTTATTGCTTTGGTGGTCCTTTAACTCCCCCGAATCCCACGTCCGGTGGGTGCAGGATTCTCACAGCGAGCAGAGAGGAAGACGGCGCCCGGAGGGACTAGCTGGGCTCCTGCTAAAGTCCCGCGACACGGTGAGGGCCTGGGGGGCCTTGCCTTTATGAAAACGCGAGCTGTGGATGCTTGATCGTGTTGTGCAGCCTCGGGAAGGGCGGCATGTGGGAGCCGGGGGTCTCATAGAAACATGTCTGCAGCCCCAGCAGGGGCGCGAGCGCACGTGGATTTATTCAGACCCTCACGCCCTGATCCCAGCTTGTGTGGCGCTTTGGCAGGTACTCCACGTGGGTGAAAAAAACAAACAACAAACAAAAAAACAAAACAAGTCCAACAGACGGTTTGTGAGGGCTGAGGGAAGTTTGCAGCTCCAGCTTCTGAGACAACTGCCTCCAAGACCATGTTCACATGATCGTCACCTGTCCTGGCTGGTGACGGCTAGGTCCTTTCTGAATAGAGCAGAGGTGGCCGTCTGGGACGACCAAAGGAGACGGGCACTCATCTCGGGATGCAGTGCGTCTGGGATGCGTCTGTGGTCCAAGGGAGCCTGGAGGCTGACGTGATCAGAAATGTAAATCTTCTCCAGAACGTGGGGTGTGAAGTGTCCTGGGCCAGACAGATGCAGGCGGAAGGCACAGGGCCACTGTGAGTTTTTAATATTCCTGGTAAACCTCCTCACGCAGAGTGGTCTCCGTACCAGTGTGGGATCCCACTGGAAGTGGAAGTCCCGACCGGTAGTGTCCATGTGATGACAGTCTGGGGTGTCGCCCCCTTTTGCTCTCTCACTGGTTGCTTTAAACTGCAGAAGATAGTCGTAAGGAGCTCCCTGGGGATCAGACAGCACATTTAAGAAGGGACAGCAAGTGCCTGTGTGGCTCGGCTCTTCTGGGATGAGGTGATGTGGCCAGAGCTCTAGGTGGGACGGGCGCTTCCAACTGGCTGCCTCCCCAGATTGGGACCTGTGGACCCAGCTGTGGGCAGCATTGCAGAGCAGACCTGGTACACTTACCTGGCCAGACCTTGGACAGTTACAGACCTGTTCTAGCCAGAGAGCAGGGCCTGAGTGAGCTCCCCTTCCATGTGGGGGTCATGCCCATCCCCCAGATGCAGCCCAGTGATGTCAGCCCTCAGCCTTCCCACTGGACACTCCCAGCATGGAGCCAGTGCCTGTGATAGAGGAAGTTAGGCCTTTCCTTCTGTGTCTTTGCTCCTGGGGAAGGAGCACTTTCCTCCTCTACACCCCCCATATATCAAAAGGATTATGCCCTTGCACCCCAGTGTTCACAGTAGCACCATTTACAACAGCCAAGACATGGAAACAACCTAAATGTCCATTAACAGATGACTGGATAAAGAAGCTGTGGTATATTTATACAGTGGAATACTACTCAGTCATGAAAAAGGATAAAATAAGGCCATTTGCAGCAACATGGATGGACCTGGAGAATGTCATGCAAAATGAAGTCAGCCAGAAAGAGAAAGAAAAATACCACATGAGATCACTCATATGTGGGATTTAAAAAAAATGATACAAATTCTATTTGTAAACCAAAAACAGACTCACACACCTAAAAAAGCAAACTATGGTTACCAAAGGGGAAAAGACGTGGAGGGATAAATTAGGGGTGGGGATTAGCAGACACACACTACTGAACATAAAATAGATAAACAACAAGGACCTACTGCAGAGCTCAGGAAACTGTATTCAATTTGTAATAACATGTAATGGAAAAGAATCTGAAAAGAAAAAAATATATATACGTAAAATGTGTAACTGAGTCGCTTTGCTGTGCACCTGAAACTAACCTTGTAAATCAACTACATCTCAATAAAATTTTTTTTAAAAAAGCTTATGCTGTTAAATCGAAGGATAACATTTATAGCAGGAATATTACAAGTGACTAGAATTAAATTTAATTGGGGTGTCAGTACAGATTATGAGCTCAAGGCTCTTTTCTGTGAGGGGACACTCCGTGGGCAGAGCTGCAGTGTGACATGTTTTATTGAACCCCCATTCCCAGAGGGGGCCCTTCATTTGCACCTGTGGTTCTGACCCAGAGCTGTCTGTGCACCTGTGTCCCGGGAAGAGGGGTCACCGTGGAGGAAGGGGAGTGTGAGGCTGCAAAGGGTTGTGGCGTGGGGTGGGGGGGTGGACGGGGGAGGCTTGGACGACGCCACACCCAGGATTGAGAGCAGACAGTGAGTGTCCACGGGCTTCTCTGCGTGTTGTTAGAACTTCCTGAGATGAAGGACAGTTACCTGACAGCTTTTGGTGCAGGTGGTGCCCAGCCAGGGCGTGCGGAGGTCTGGTTTCCAGACGTGCGCTCACCCGAACAAGTGTATGCTTCTAACTGCAACCACTGCTGTGTTTTCTAGGAAACGGCAGAGCTGTGGGCCTCCCCCCATCAGCCAAGCTGTGAAGATCTGAGCAGGAATCTCTCCAGCGCCTTGCGGAGCTTCCGGAGCGCCTTGGAGAAGGCCCGTGCACGGAGCTGTGCCTGCGGGTCCCCGCCAGGCCCTGGCCCCCGGCCACTGCACACGTACGTCCTGCTCACCCTCCACCCCTGCCCTCGCCAAGGCCATACCTCCCTGTGTTTTCAAATGACAGACTTCACACGGTCATGTGCCCCGCAGGGCATTAAAATTCACGCTGGTGCCATGTTTGCACCCACAACAGCGTCTTTAGAGTGTGAACTATAAGAGCAGCTGTAACTCTAAGCCGAGCTTCATTGCGGCTCCAGGCGTTGGATCAAAATGTCCAGACCCGAGGTCACAATTTGGCATTCGTTATGTTCTGGGGGACCGGCCAGCAACTTTTCATGCTGGATTAACTTTGTTCTGAGCTCTCCAAGTGTAACCCAGCCTGGAAGAGGCAGTCAGGCACTTGCTCGTCTGCGGTGAGCTGTTCACAGAAAGGACGATGTTCAGCTGAATTCTTGGTGTCCTAATTTCTCGTGCATCCCAGGATCTGTCTTCTCCATACCTTCCACACTCATGAGACCCTTTATTCTGCACCGTGGTGCCTGACTCACCTTGCCTGGCAGGGGCTCCCAGACGGAAACGCTGGGGTCGTGATACTGACCAGTATTCACATCCAGAGTGCGTGTGTCTAATTATTCGGGGGATTTTTATAGAAATGGGGTCTTGTCACCTTGTTCCCGGGGACCGACGCGGTACTGTTCCCTCCGGCATTGTTGCTTGCTGTCTCATCTTGCCCAAATTAGCTGCAGTTTTCTACCATTTTAGGTTGGCCCGAAGCCTCGAGAAGACTTTGCTGTCTGGGAACCCCATTATGGCTTTCCTTGGCAATTTCTCAGTAACTCAGGGTAGGTACGCGGTTCCTGCACGTCTGCCTGAGTGAAAATTGAGTTTAGTTTCTCGCACGAACGTGTGATTTCAGTAAAACACCCTCAGGGAGGGTTAGTGATAAAGAACAGGTTAGAGCCGCCTGGCTGCCCCGACGTCTTCGGGGTTGAGAAGGAGGTCGCCAAGTCCTGGGTCCGACACCGAGACAGGAAGGAAGGGAGACGTCCACGGTCGTGGTGTCTCCCTGCACACGGAGACCTCGACGAGCCTCTGTTTCTCTGTCTGTCTTGTCCGAGTGATCCATAAGCCCTTGAAACACCGATACGTCAAGTCTGAAGAATTCTGGCAAATCTCGTTGAGAAACGTGAGATACATAGATTCGCGGAGAGAAGTGAGTTCCCTACGGAGAACCACCTGTTTCCAGAGCAAATCTTAACATGCACAGGGCTCGGGGGCGGCAGGCCACCCACCCTGGGGTTTTGTTTCACTGGTGGTGTTGGTGAACTCAGGTCCTCCTGGCAGATAAGGTGTGACTTTATTTAGTGCTTATGTACTGGGGGGCTGGGCACAGTCAAGGAGGCGACCCTGGCTGGGTTTTAGCGTCAGATCTTGTCTTCCCAGCCGGCAACACCCCAAACATGTGTCGCTATGAGATTTCCTGCCTCTGGGTCGCTTTTCAGATGTAAAAGTCAAAGACGTGATGCAGAACGTCACCAGGCTAACCGAAGGGCTTCGGACGTCTCTGCACATCTCAGGCGCGACCATCGAGGGCATTTTAGAAGCCAACGTCTCCCATTCGAAGGTACTGTCTGCTTCTCCTCGGGTCGCCCTCCCCGCGAGCCCTCGGGCGGGCGGCCGGGGGCTGCTGCCCTCCTGTCCTGGTGCCCCCCTGCCCCACAGCTGGGGGCCTCGTGTGAATGATATAAACTGAGGCAGAAGGGAAACGAGAGAATAAACCAGGAGCCAACGGACGTTGTCTTCCGCTGCCAAGACCTGGAGGACTGTCACGATGCTGCCTTTGCTGGCGTTAGAAATGAAGTCGGTGAATGATGTTTGTTCCGGAATTCCCAAACTGATGGGCGGTGCCTGGGGGGCCCTGCTGGGGGCTGTGATTTCCTCTGAGTGGGGGATGCCTGTGTGCAGCCGGACGTGTGCTGTGGGACGGCTTGGTGTGTCGGCAGATGGGCAGTTGCAGGCAGGCGCGTCCCCAAAGGGGTTGAGAGGTGCTGGTTGAGGCCACGGAGATAAGGAGATGGGGACACGTGCGGGGCGGGTTTCTCCGCGGAGGGTGGGAGCGGATGAGTTTCTCCTCGTCCCCGGCGGACGCCCCCTGAGCCCCCGGCAGGTACCTGGCTGGGATGACCTGTCAGCACTTCCACTGGGGTTTCACTTCCCGGGACCCAGAACCTGCCGGAAGCAGCCGCCACGAAGGGGGCTGTCGAGTGAGCACTTTCCCTGACGTCAGCCGGGCGCGTGTGGATCCTGACTTTCCTGTGGCGCGTCTTGTGAATTGCGGCTAAACGCGAGCCTTGACAAGGAGGCCAGTTGACTAAGAGTTAACCCATGTTAAGGAAGAGATGAGAGGAGCCCCAGATTCACGTTCTGTCTCCTCAGGGACGTTATGGTGCAAGGAAGACGCCAAAGGCAGCTTATTGAGGACCCCCGTGCACCGGGGAGGGGTGTGTCCGCTGGATCGTGTGGCAGGCGAACGGAGCAGTGACCGAGTTTGTTTAAGCAGCGACTAGCAACGCGGTCAGAGAAGGGTCAGGGCGGCTGCCTCCAGGGGTCCCTTCAAATGCAACAGCTTGGGTTCCATGGTTTGTGCCCAGTTCAGCAAGTGGCCACTGGGTGTCGCTGAGGTTCCGTGGGCCGAGGACTGGCTCCGGGCAGGCTCGGAGACGGCTGATGCCGCCGGGAGACGGCTGTGCAGTGCTTTTAGCATTTGTCTGTCTTCGTCTACGTCTCGGGCTATGGACGTCGTTATGGAGGGTCACCTAAACCGCTGGACAGTTAGGTCGCCGGGAGGGCATTAGAAGCCTTGCTTTCCTGGGACTCAGATAAATAAGGAAGGTCTTTGCTTGACGGCTGAGTGCATCCATGAACTGGAACGCGTCCACAGACCTTAGGTAATTGTTGTTTGGTTAGGAGAAATACGGTTGGAGCCTCATTCATCCACTTGCTGGAAGTCTTCCCTCCCGGAGCCTGGACCCCCGAGTCCCCGCTCTGAGGGAGTGGACGTCGTGCTGGGTGGCAGACGCAGTATACAGACACGTGTCGTACGGCGAAGTTCTGCGCGGCACGTGTCCGGGGCGACCTGGCAGTGGTGGGGACAGGTGGTCCCAGGGGCTCCCTGAGGACGGGGCGTCGGGGCTCAGACAGACATGGGGAAACCACTGTCTGTAAAGACATGAGAGAGCCTCAGGGCTGGGGACCCAGTTAAAGGGCAGGGGCAGGAAGAAGGGGACGGCGGCCAGGCTGACCCGTGGGTGCCATGCGCTTTCCTCTCCTGCCGTCTGTTCTGGCTTCGGCTGCTGGGGGCCCCTGGGGAAGGTCCTCTGCCCTAGCGCTGCTCCATTCCTTGCCACCGGCATCTCCGGGTGCAAACCCCAGATCTCAGACGCCCGGGGCGTGTTGGAGCCTGGAGCCCGGCTCACCCACCTCCGCCCTGGACTGAGTCCCCCCACCCGCCCGGAGACGCCCCGCGCGTGTTGTGCCGTGGTGCCCGGCCCCTCGCTCCCGATCGGCAGTGACCTCCTTCTCTGCACCAGGTTGATTTGTTACTCTTTTCAGAGGTGACCGTGAGGTTGCAAAGTCAGGACCAAGGAGCCTGAGAGAGCAATCAGAGGGTCTGCCCGCTCCCTTGGGAGACAGGGGTGCCACAGCCCCCTGCAGATTTGTGCTCCCTCCTCGAAGGTGGAGGAAGGTGCAGGCGGGGCTCCCCGCCAGCTCTGATCTCTTCTGCGAGGCTCTTAAGGGGAAAAGCTGATCTGCAACCTTTTCTTACTCCCCGTGGGCAGGAAGGAGTGCATTTGGCGGATCTGGCCTAATTTCTGTCTCTCACTGGGGGTGGCATCTGTAGGCGCCATGACCAGCCGGCTGGCACACTTTTTGGCGTGAGAGCCGCCTTCCGGGGATTTCTCCAGCCTGGCCCGCTCCGATGGTTCTGGCGCATGGAGCCAGGCTTCTGGAGCGCTGCGTCGGATGGTTCCCGGTGTGACTCACTTCGGAGTAGACGCCGTTCACAGCAGGGTTACCCTGGCTTTTTCTCTGAGAGAGAAAGAAATAATTAACCTGAGTGGAGTTGAGAGTTCCCGGCGCACGAGAGGAACGGGGCCCGGTATGCCTTGGTGGGCGTCCCCGGCCATGTGGAAGGTCTTACCCCAAACGGAGCGCATCCTGAGCTGTGAGTGTCACACGGTTCCCACAAGTAACCCCCCTGCCACGTCATCAGGCTGGAATTCATGGTCCTTCTAATTCAGGAAACTTCAGACCCTCCGCCAACCTGTCATGGAAGATAAATGGCTGCTTCAGTGGGTGCCTCTTCCCTACTTGCACTTCTGCACGTGTGTTTCAACCCGAGTTTCCAGAGTTGCTCTCTGCACAAGAGCGTCTCCCTGGTTATGGCCAATTATTCCAACCCTCAGGGTCCCTTGAACCCTGCTCTGCTTTGCAGAGTGTCATCCGTCACTCCCGGCTCGGCCAGTCACAAAGGGAATGAAGACGTCTCCTGAGCTTCCATTCGAGTCGTTCCTGCAGGAAGGTGACCGTGACCTTGGGGGGTCTCCCCACCAAATCCACGTTCAGTTGCTTGAATCAGCCCCAGCACGTCTGCCTGGGGGCCTGGCGACGGCCTGGTCCACTCGGTCTGCCTTCCCAAGACGACGGCTTTGCACTGAGCCGGCCCGTTTGTGGGGGTTCCGTCCACGTGGTTTGCACAACCGCCCTTCACTTTAAGAGCTCGTGGGAACTCATGGTCAGAGCTCACGCGGGGGTTGGCGTTAGTATGTCGGTGATCCGTGGAGTTAGAGAGAGAAAGTCAAACGTGGTTTCACTTATGCCATGACTGCTTGAGAAGTGGGGCCATAGGACGGTCATCCTGTCTGCAGTCGGAGAGGAGAGAGGGTTCCGGAGAGGCAGACAGAGAGGCGGGGCTGGGAGCGGGGCCTTCCCCTGCAGCCGGCAGGGCCCTGGGTGACAGCAACGCCGCCTGGACCAGCCGTGCGCTCAGTGCAGGGCAGGGGCGGGCGAGGGCAGGGCAGGGGTGCAGGGGGGCCCCTCCAGACAGCCCTGAGAGCTCCCTCCTGCCCTGGGATGGTCGCTCCGGTCCACGCCTCTTCACTGCCGGCAGGTCTGAGCCCCCGGCACTCCCCGCTCCTCTCTGTCCTGTGCAGGGCGATGTTTAAGGTCTGCCCCGGTCTCCGTTCCTTGCTTTCATAGCCTCGCATGTGTTTCCAGTTCTCCCCCGTCGCTCTCCGTGTTTCTTTTCTGGTCTTTAGGCTGAGGACGGTCAGTGCTCCTCTGCATCCCTGAGCCTAAAGTGACCAGCGGGGCAAAGCCGGGACCGTCTCCGAGGCGCTGCTCTGAGCATAATTAGGGTTTTGGCAGAAGCTCAGTAAACAAGCTCCTGCTAAAAATGCAGAAACCCTTCTCTCCTAGGGCCCATCTCCGTATTTATAGGGAGTCTGTTAACTCAAATAAATATCTAATTGAGTGTGTGCGCGCGCGTGCGTGTTGGGGTCACAGCTGGGGGCACTGTCTGCCCTGGATCCCTGGCTTCGTGCGGTTTTCCAAGGGGGACACGGAGGAAAAGCAGCAAGAACTTGGCATCCGAGTTTCTGATAACTGGCAGGGTCAGCCCAGCCTGAGTTGAAAGATGCCAGTTTTGACTTTAAAAAGGATTCACGTGACATTTTTCCAAGCCAACCAAACTGAGTGTTGTCTTTGCCTTTTTTTTTTTTTAATACTCCATCTGCTGCAGGCACCTTTCAAACAGGGGAAATGGACACAGTAAAATTTTAAAAAGATGGAGAATAAAGTCGGGAACCACAGAGAGAGGGAGAAGGGAGGCACAGACGCTGTGGGGCGTGGCTCTTGTGCGTGATGGGCCTGGGGGCTTCTGCGTGGTGGCACCTGGCACCCCCCCTGCTTGGTTAAAAGAGCTGCGTGTGACTTTTCAGACAAAATTTCTGTCTTGGGACTAAATTCTAAGAGATGCTTGAGTGTGCTCCCACATGGGGACCGCCGGGTGACAGCGAATTCCCAGGCTCCCCAGCAGACGCAGAGGGATGTCATCGGCCAGTTCTGGTTGATGCCCACGCAGCACCAGGAGCAGTGAATCCCCCTTTTCAAGGAAAACTTCAGGAGAAGCCCGATCAAAGAGGGCTGCCCTAATCAAAGTGGAGGCTGGGTGTCTACACCCCAGCCAGCCTGCCTTCTCTTCGAGCCCCTGCCACAAGCCCAGCCAAAGGCGGCTGGCCCTTCTTGAGAGAACAAGGTTGGAAGCAGTGGCAGAAGGAACTCCTTCTCAAAGTATGTCTGTACCATCCACATCCCCTGCGGAAAAAGGGCTTATTGGCCAATTAGGTATGAAAAACTTCACACATCTGTCTCAAAGATTCAGAGTGTACATCAGCATGTTAAAGTCTGCTAGCCATTTAAAAAAATAAATCTACAACTAGATTATGTATTTATTTTTAATGGAGGTGCTGAAGATGGAACCCAGGACCTCGTGCATGCTAAGCACGCTGTCTGTCACTGAGCTATTACCCGCCCTGTCCTTGCCTTTTGTGATGGGTAATTTCGTATGTCGACTTGCCTAGGCCTTCGTTCCCAGATATTCGGTCAAACACCAATTAAATGTCCCTGTGAAGTTATTTCTTTTTTAGATGACATTAACAATGAAATCGGTAGGTTTTGAGCAGATTGCCTTCTGGAATGTGGGTGGGCCTCGTCTAATCAGTTGAAGGACTTAAGAGCAAAGTCTGAGAACTCCCGAGGGAGAGGGAATCCCACCTTCAGACGGCCTTCGGGGCTGAGCTGCAACGTCCGCTCCTCCCTGGGCCTCCTGCTGGCCAGCCTGCCCTGTGGAATTGAGTCTGGCCACATTCCCACAGTTAAGGGAGCCAATTCCGTAAAAAGCGTCCGCTGGAGTAGCCATGTCCTGCTGCTCTGGAGAACCCTGATTAGTCCATTATTCTGCTTGTTAATGATTTGGGGGGCATTTTATGACATGATGTGAAAGCATCTAACGAGTTTTCCAACAGGTCCTCCCGAGCGCCCTGGCGGTGGCCTTGTCTGGAAGATGTGACCGGGACGTGCTGCGCCTCCTGCTGGAGTTCCCCGAGGGCGCAGAGTCCAGGGCGGTGGCAGAGCTGTGCGGGCTGCCCGGGGACAAGGTGTACTCCCTGATCATGCTCATGGCTCAGAATCTGAACCTGCGGAATTTCTTTTACAAGGTAAGGGGCAGATGGTGGGCCTGATGTGGGCAGGGCGACTGTGCCGGTGACTCCATGCCACAGTGGGGGAGCCCGTGCAGGGCTTCTGAGTCCCTGGGTGCTGCCTTGGGGGTGGGCATGGAATCAGGGGGTGTTCAGGAGACTCTCCGGGCCCCTTGGCGTCAGGCCCATCAGGACATCCGGCAGAGCACTGGTCAGCATGCTCAATGCGGAAGGACCAGTGAGCAGAGTCACCACCGAAGCTCTCTCTGAGGACCACCCTCCTGGAGTGTTTATCTGGAGAGCTGGGCTCCCGCTGGGCCCCTCCCAGCCGCCCCTCTGAGTCAGAGCTGCTCCCACCCCTCCTTGGCCACGACCTTGTCTACCCCTGTTACACCCTGGGACGCACGGTCTCTGTCCCATGAGGGTGACGTGCCCCCCTCTGCCAGGGCCTCTCCGGGAGAAGCTGTGCAGGTGGAGGGGGCTCAGGGTGGCCCCAGTCCTGTGTGAACCAGCCTGTCACCTGCCCTGCACACAGCATGGGAGGGTGGCGGGTGGGGAGAAATCTGGAGGTTATCGTGTGTGCGGGAAAGAGCTGAAGGTGGGTGGTGAGTTCCACTGACCCCAGGGCTGGCCCGAGGGAGTCCCCGCTCAGACGGCCCGCGTGGCTGCACACCCGTCCCCAGCCCTGGCTTCGTGCTCTGGTCTCTGCCCCTTCTGCAAGGTTCTTCGTCTTTTGGTCGCCACTGTTGGAATCTTTATTTATGTAGTTAAATTTTTTAGTGTAATTTTTTAATTTCAGAGTTACTTTTTTTTTTATTGAAGTGCAGTCAGTTACAATGTGTCAATTTCTGGTGCACAGCGTCGTGTTTCAGTCTTACATATATATACACGTGTTCCTTTTCATATTCCTTTTCATGATAAGTGACTGTGAGGTATTGAATATAGTTCCCTGTGCTGCACGGGAGGACCTTGTCGTTTATCTATTTTATATGTAGTAGTTAGTGTCTGCAAATCTCAACTCTTAATTCATTCCTCCCCACTCCCTGTCCCCTTTGGTAACCATACGTTTGTTCTCTACGTCTGGGTGTCTCCGTTTTGTACATAAGTTCATTTGGAGGTGGTCATTCTAAGTGAAGTGAGCCAGAAAGAGAAAGAAAAAATACCACATGAGATCACTTAGATGTCGAATCTAAAAAAGGAAAAGAAAAGACACAAATGAATCTCTATTTATGTTTCCAGAAACGTCACTCTCGACCACTGGTCTTGCTCCAGGTTTGTCCCCAGGGGTAGATTTGATGACTCAGGGCCACGCAGAGATGCCACAGAGGTTGCAAAATTGGCCACGTGGCTTTAGGGGCCCCAAACCTGGAGGAGAGTTTTGGGGGTCAGGAAAATGGTAGATTTGCATTCCAGCCCAAGTTCCTGCGTGGCCGCCCTCTCTTCAGTTACTTCCGAAATCCAGCAGGTGAATGTTGGATTACACGGCCACACGGAACAAACAGTCATTTTCAGAACGGGTACGTTTTAAGTCCACAAGCTGGAGGATGAACATTTTCTAAATGTCCCCATCATTTGCAAGGCTGCCTCTACTTAAATTTCCGCTCCGGGCACCTCCAAGTTAGAAACATCTGGAAAGTGATGTGCATTTCTGGGTTTGTGTTGGTACAATTCTGGTGCGATTGTGTGTGCTCTGGGAAGCGGAGCTGCACTCAGAGAGGGCTTTGCACAGCAGAGACCCCTCCTGGGCTCCAGAGGGAGGCAAACAAAGCAAGTGCGTTCACTCTCGCCGCCACTGCTCGGAGAGGAGACAGCGGTGGTTGCTCCGTGTTGTGTTTTTCCCTTTGAGACTCTGATCCCTTCGGAGGCGGGCGGCCTGCTCAGCTCCCTGTTGGACGTCGTCTCCCGGCTCAGCCACCTGCTTCCCAAAGCCGGCCGCGTCCTGGACTACCTTCCCGAGTTCCTCCAGGCGTTTAAATTCGCTGACTTTCAAGAGGTGAGTGCTGGGCCCGGGCCCCAGGGGAAGAGTCCCATTTGCTGTGTCTTTGTGTTTGAAAGTTTTATCTTCATTTCTTTTCCAATATCCAAAATGTGCATTCAACCGCAAGACGCAGGGATGGGCGGGAATACCATTTTGTAAAAAGAAAAAATTTTTTTTGCAGGGAGGAGGAGGTAATTAGGTTTATTTATTTTAATGGAGGGACCGGGGATTGAACCCAGGACCTCGTGCATGCTAAGCACGCGCTCCACCCCTGAGCTGTTACCCCTGACCAGGAATACCTTTTGATGGCAACACAGTGTCAAGGAGCGAGGCCTGGTATCTCCTTCAAACCTGGATGAAACACACATTCACCCCGGGAAGGTCGGATAGTTTGTGTGTTGTTGGTGAAGTCAGAAATCACGGAATCGATTGTGAGCACAGAGGAGACTCTGAGGGCCCGTTTAACTTAACATTCAGAGTCCATTGCTTTCAAAAACCTTAACACATTTCTTGGCGTATCCATAATTGGCCTGCGGATTGCAGGTCGGGTGCTGCCAATGCAAAGCTGAATGGGTCGAGGAGCATGGGCGGAGTTGTGCCTCGGATGCCGTCTGCCCGGAGGGAGTTGCTGGGGAGGGGGCGTGGTGGGGGATGTGCAGAGGTGGGGGTGCAGGAGGGGGGCCAGGGAGAAGACCTGCCTCGGAGGCAGGGTGTTGGTAAGTTCACCGGCTGCGGGATGACGTGCTAGCTGGGCATCCAAGTGTCTGGGGAAGTCGGCTGTGGAGACACGTGTTAAAACTATTCATTGGTCTGAGTTCCTGATGTTCTGTGGATTGATAATTCATCACTGGACAAACAGCCAAGGTTTGCTGGTGTACGTGTGTGTGTGTGTATGGTTTGTCTCTTCGCCCACGTAAACCAGAGAAATCATTGCATTGATCTGCACAGTGTTTCAAAGACAGAAAAGCCTCCAGCGGAAATTGCGTTCCTTTGCCTTGCTGGGACTGTAAGTTCAGCTGGGGAGGACACCCTTTCCCACGTCCGGGAGGGAATTACCCTGCACCGCGGTTCACTTGCCGTGTGTTTTTCTTACGTCCTCAGGCCTCAGAGAGCAAACAGGCCCGAGGTTCAGCCTTCGGTTCTTTCCAGTCTTTGATGAAGACCATGTGCACGGAGCAAGCGTCTTTCTTGAGCAGCTCTGACACGTTTATGAACCTGCCAAGGGTGGACGACCTCTTAGGGGAAGACAGAGACAAATTCAACATTCCTGAAGATGCGAGTAAGGAAGCTGGAATCCCTGTTTGTTTAGATTGCTTTGCATTTGGATAATTAGCCCTGCTTTTTTTTTAAAATTATTTTTACTGAAATATAGTCGGTTTACAATGCTGTGTCAATTTCTGGTGCACAGCATCAGAATTCAGCCCTGTAGGAACACACACATATTTGTTTTCATATTAGCCCTGCTTTATGTGAAATATTCTGTCTGTATGGAAAGTGGGTGCATGTTTGCAAAGAATTTTCTGCCTCCACGCTCTAAGCTTCCATCCATCCCTTCATCTGTCCTTCCATCCATCCATCCATCCTTCCATCAGTCCATCCCTTCATCCATCCTTCCATCCATCCTTCTGTCCTTCCGTCCATCCATCCCTTCATCCATCCTTCCATCCATCCATCCTTCCATCTATCCGTCCCTTCATCATCCTTCCATCCACCCATCCATCCATCTTTCCATCCATCCATCCATCCCTTCATCCCTTCATCCATCCTTCCATCCATCCATCCTTCCATCCTTCCATCCATCCATCCCTTCATCATCCTTCCATCTACCCATCCATCCATCTTTCCATCCATCCATCCCTTCATCCCTTCATCCATCCTTCCATCCATCCATCCCTTCATCCATCCCTCCATCCATCCATCCCTTCATCCATCCTTCCATCCACCCATCCATCCATCTTTCCATCCATCCATCCATCCTTCCACCCATCCTTCCATCCTTCCATCCATCCATTGATCCATCCATCTAACCATCCATTGATCCATCCATTCCTGTATCCATTAACCCATCTATCCTTCTATCCTTCCATCCATTGGCCCATGCACCCAACCATCTGATCATTCAGCTAGCGTTGAGGACCAGTCTTTTTTGGTCTTTCCGTGCTTTTTTATTTCAAATGATTGTCACAGTAACCGTAGACAGTATTAGTACCTTTATTTTTCAGATGACAGGAGAGAAGCTCAGCAGTTAGGTGACTTGCCCAAGTTCACGCAGCTCACAGGTGGCAGATGTTAGGGTTCCTGGTGGCAGATGTCTTGCTCTGTTCATATGTATGATTATGTCTTTCCCAAAGTCAAAACGGCTACCACGCTCAGCTTACAATTTAAAGTGTAAGTTGTTAAAATATTGACAAGAGCAACCCCTCTGATTCTATAAAAAGTCATTATATAGTCATGCCCTTAATTTACATTTCAAGTGCGGAATATAGGAAATTAATCGTGAAGATGATCGCAAGAGTAATTTCATATCCTGGATGTTACAAATCATACTATCAAAGCTAACGTAATATTTTCGTCTTAAATGTTCTCTTCAGACATAAAAGAACTAGTTATACTGAAGTGTTTATCACTAGCTTGAAACTGTATATATTTGATCACCAATCATTATGGTGATGAAGGACCTGCCTTTCTTAGGCACCTGTTGATTTAGTCAAGTACACCTTCAGCTGAAACTAACTGGTACCATACGGCGAGGGGAGCAGACGTGAGGGACTGAGTGTCTGAGTGAAAACAAGGCAATTTAACATATCAAAAGCAAAAAAGTGCAATAGCTCTGTAGAGGTGCCGCAGAGAAAATTCAGTAGCAATTTATTTATAAAGCTAATTTCATAAGAAAAACCTAATTCTGGTCTCAATACTGTGACTGTTGAAATGAAGGTTTTCTAGATTAAAAACCAGATATTTTATTTTATTTTATCTTACTTTATTTTATCTTATGTTATTTTATTTTATTATTTTATCTTCTTATTTTATATTTTATTTTCTTATTTTTATTTTATTTTATTTTATCTTATTTTATTTTATTTTATCTTATCTTTTTATCTTATCTTTTATTTTATCTTTTTGTTTTCTTATATTTTATTTTATTTTATCTTATTTTATTTTATTTCATTTTATCTTACCTTATTTTATCTTATCTTTTATTTTATCTTATATTTTATTTTATTATTTTATTTCATTTTATATTTTATTTGTCTTATTTTTATTTTATTTTTTATTATTTTATTTTATTATTTTATCTTATTTTATTTCATTTTATCATATCTTTTATCTTTTATTTTATCTTATTTTAATTTAATTTTATTTTTATTCTATTTTATTTTATTTTTTTATTTTATTTTATATTATATTTTACATTTTATTTTATTTTATTTTATTTTATTTCATTTTATTTTACTTTACTGTTTGCATTTTCAGGTGTCTTGGTCATTATTCAGCGCTCTTCCTGATAACTTAGTTTAAAAATGTGAAGCTCATACTTCCTTCTCTTTCAAATTATTGAAGGGAACATGGTATCTCAAACTTTCTTTTGGGACAGGAGCTGCTAAAATCAATAGCAGGAAGAATGACCTCTGAATTTACTGCCCCCGTTCGGAGCTGAGTCGTGCAGAATGCCTGCAGATCGCTCACTGGGGAGTGAGACACCGTGGATTTTGAAGTAACTTCCCTGTAAATCTGGGCGTCCCGTATTAGGAGTAATACTTTTTTTCTTTTTTAATTGTGACAGCACCGTTTTGCTTGAAGCTTTACCAGGAAATCCTGCAGTCCCCGAATGGCGCTTTGGTGTGGTCCTTCCTCAAACCTGTGTTACATGGGAAAATCCTGTACACACCGAACACTCCGGAGATTAACAAAGTCGTTGAGAAGGTACGCTCCAGCGAATGAGGGTCTTACAGACTGTAGGAGCAACACGCCGGGAGGCGGTGCTTTAAAATACTTACTGTGATTATTGCAGAGGTTGGATTGTGCCCAGTGTTCTGGTGGTGATGATAGATCATTGGCCCTGCTGCTCTCCCTGTTCCCTTTGGATGTGAGTCTCTGAGAGGGTATTTTTGGAGGCAGGAGAGCATTTTTGGAGTAAGTGATGCAGGGAGGACAGTCAGACAGACAGGAGGACTGTGTGCAGGAAACCCTGCAGAGCAGATGCTCATCCGCTTTGCCTGGTGGGTCCGGTGGTGAAGGAAGAGTCAGACCTGGTGCGTCTGTAGCCCGGGTCTGGGAAGAGACCTTTTTTCTGAATTGACGGTGAGACCTTCTCGGCTTCGCTCTGCCATGGGTCAGCTCGGACTTTAGACATTGCATGGTTTGCTAGGTTCTTCTGTTCCTGGCAGGATCGTTCATGTTTGCACTTCCTTTTGAAACGATGTTTCAAGAAACCGTGAAACTGTTTCTCCTCTCTGTCTGGGACTCCAAGCCTATGAACGTGGAGTCTTGCATTATTACCCTACAGGTCCCCGAAACTCCGTTCAGTTTGTTACCTCTTTTGTCTTGTTGCTCAGACTGGGTCTGTCTTCAGGTTCCCTGATTCCAGTCCTCTCCTTGGGACTGTCTGGGAAGCTTACAATTTTAAGCTTAAAAATTTTTTTTGTTGTGGCATCTCTAAGTTCTGTCCGCGTCCTGGGCTTCTGTATCAGATTAATAACCCCTGTTTCATTGTTGAGACTTTTCTGCTATTTAATTTGTTTCAAGACAACTTTTATTTGCTTGTAGACGCATTTTTAAAATGTTTGTCAGATCACTCCAACATCTGATTTATTCCAATACTGACATCAACCTATTGCTTCTTAAAATTCAACTTGCAGGGTCTCTGGTGCACTGTCTGGTGGGTGATTTTCAATTATATTATAGGCATTTTGGATATCATGTTCAGAAACCCTGTAAAAAAATCTTTTATTTTTGCAGGCAGTGGTACTGATCAGATTAAACACACAGGTGTTGGCTCCCTCTGTGGGCGGTGGTTCCAGCGACAGCTTACACATCACAGCCTTTGTGGTGGTGTTTTGATCTGCTTGGTTTATCCGGAGCCTCTGAGGCTTCCAACTGCTCCCTGATTCTGCTGCCTGAAAGGCAGATGGATTTCTCTAGAAAGAAACCTCTATCCAGTCACCTGTCGATGGACACTCAGGTTGCTTCAATGTGGCTGTTGTAAACAGTGCTGCTGTGAACACTGGGGGGCATGTATCTTTGCAAACTAGTGTTGGAAAAATACCCAGAAATGGAGTGTCTGGATGGTCTCTTTGTGACCCAGGGAGATGCGGTCAGACTCCCAGACCTCCTTCATCTTAGCTCTTTGGCATGTAGACCCTTTTCAGTATAAAAAAATACAGTAACATTGCATTAGACATCTTCGTGGATATAGCTTTATATTTCATTTAACTGGTTTCCTTATGATAATATCCTATTATTTTGAGAGACAAAAAGCCTGGGTTTTTTTTTGTGGGTGAATATTTTTTGTGATACCTAATTATTTAAAAAAAATCTGATTTGCTCTGCCAGCAGCAATAAGTGAATAAATATAGCCAGTTTCACTTTAGCCTAAGTAGTGTTAGATATCGTAAAACAAATGCGTAGATAATAGTTGAGGACGTGTTTCTGTGTGCATGGGGGGCACTGGGGTGGACAGGCAGGCAGCGCCCGGCTGGAAAGAGTCCGGCGGAGAAGGCTCGCGGACTCATTGAGGGGTGAGGGCGTTGGAACGGTGGCCTTGTCTGGGGAGGTGTGGCCGATCTGATGGTGACGTTGGGAGATCCTTGCCCCAGGCGTATCTCCGTGTCGTAGCTGCCACAGCGCCGCCGGCACATCTTCCCGGTGCAACCCAGCTGAACGGCAGACTTAACCCAAAGGTGCTTTGTTCTGCAGGCAAATTATACTTTCAATTTTGTGGACAAGCTGAAGACTTTGTCAGAGACACTGCTGAAAATGTCCAGCGTCTTTCAGGGCAGTCGAAGTGGCCAGATGCTCAGCCAGCTGCAGGTGAGGGCGGCCGCCTTTGCCCCCAGGGGCTGGGGCCACACGGGCAGAATCTGGTGGTTTTTTGGGAAGGTTCTCCAGACTCACTCTGGGCGTGGTTTTCCCGGTTGACCAGTGCTATCGACATAAAACTGGATATGCATGGAAACCTTCTGGAATTAATGAGTTGTTTTGCTCGTGCAGGATGTTACCATTGTGAGAGTGCTCAGTAATTTATTAAAATTTATTTGCAATTTAAACTTCACATGAATGTAATGCCTTTTGGGGGTGGTTTGCACGCTGTTCAGCTGCGGGTTCTTTAAAACAATCAATTATCACTTGCTAATATTCTGTATGGACAACATAGCATATTTCAGAATGTGTGGACTGTCATTTACAACCTTCCGACTCCTTCACAGCGGGACAGTCATTAACTCCACAACTTAAATCGAAGTCGATCACATCATAACGTTTTGGGGCACCTGAAAATCCACCTACATTTTTATTCTTGTGTGGCTTATTTCTCACCCACCAGGCAAGTGGTTCAAGGTGGTTCAGCGCCGGGACCCAGAGCCAGGTCGTCTGGGTTTGAGTCCCCAGCCCCGCCCCTCCCCTGAATGCTGTGTGACTGCGGGCTGGCGGCTGAACTTCTCTGTGCCTGGGGTTTCTTGCCTGTGAAGTGAGGAAGTCATGGCAGTTACGAGCTGTAAAGGGAGTGACATTATGTAAAGCATTTGGAATAGCGTTTGGTAGGTAGGAAATGCTTCGGTGCCGAGACCAGATGACACATGCAAAGAATTTTATTACGGGAAAGAGGTCAGTCAGCAGGGCACGTCTGGTCCTCAGGGACAGAGGGAGGGAGGGAGGGAGGCTGGGCGGAAACATCGTACGTGGCCCTGCCAGTTAACGAATGCATCGCCATTTTGCAAAAAAACAAAACTGGGGTAACGGGGTAACGCATAAATATTCTGCAGGGAACTGGCAAATGCCCCAGTCAGCCCCCACACAGGTACCCAACCCCCCAGGGGTTAAGCGTGGGGTTGGCCTCGCTGCATGGCTGTTTCTCACTCCGTCTCCTGGGGATTGTGGGGTGTCAAGTGCGGGGCAGGACGAGGCAAATATATGGAAAATAAAGGTGCAAAACTTCCCTAAGTTGGGGAAGGTGCCCTTGGAGGACCCACCGAAGCAAACCCACTGACAAATGAGGCATTTCAATAGTGAACGAGGAACAATACGGCCGCTCTGAGAGGGGCTTCCGCAGATGAAGAGCTGGGCGTCGAAGGGTCAAGAGTGGCTTCGGCCGGGGAGGGTGGTTAGCGTGTGGGTAGCACGCACGGGTCCTGGGTTCAAGCCCCAGGCCCTCCATCAAAGTAAATAAACAAATATCTAATTACCTACCCCCTCCCCCAACAAAATTTAAAAATAAAGTACATAAATAAAAATTTTTTAGAAGAGAGAGAGAGGGGCTTTGGGAAAAATGCCGAAACCTTTCTTCAGTGTTTTCCTAACACTGTCCCCGCCATGGAGAAGGCAATATAAAGGATTTACATGAAGAGTCAGCATAAAGTTCTATTAGAAAAGTTTGTCCCCCCAAATCCATGCTTAATTCATTCTTTGTTTTCAAAATCAGGGCACAATCACAACTGTAATCTAAATTGTTTTCCGTGTTAGTGCATCATTACAATTGTAGCCTAAATTGTGTACTTCTGCGTTTCAAAACAGAGTCCTAAGCCGATTCGTGTCACGGGACCTCCTTTAAGAAGGTGCCTTTCTGTGCCCAAAATTTTCCCCGTGTAATGACACTCGGGAAAAACCGAACAATTATTATTCAGCAGGAGTGACGGTGAGATTGTTTTTGTCAAACGGCGTTCCTTCCCTTTAGGGAGCCCTGAGGGACAGATTTCAAAGGAGCTTTGTAGAGAGCCAGCTGCACGTCGATGTGGACAAACTGACGGAGGAGCTGCGGGCGTTGGGTGAGTGCGGTGGGCGGCGGGCTCCGGCGGGGGCCGCCCTCGGGCCGCGCAGTCTGGGGGCGGCGCTCGCCCGCCGGACCCTCTCCTGGTTTCTGGTGTCCCGTCTGTAGAATGAAGGGCTCGGATTGAGAGCGCTCCAGAGTTCGTAAGCGAGGTTTTCTGATTGGCTGGTTCAGGGCTGGTTACAAAGGAACATTTCTGATGCAAATAGAAGACGGTGGGTTCCAACGGGAGTTTGTAAAAGGAACGGCTATTTATGGCAGGTTCCCCTTTCCTAGGCGTTCCTCGTCCCTTGTTTTCCGGTGTGACATCGGCCCCCAGTGGGCCAACACCCCCCCTTCCTGGGGTCCTTCGTCCAGGCTTCCTGCCGGCTCAGCCCGGCTGGTCCCCCTCTGCGTGCAGACGTGTCCCTGGGGAGCCCTCTTCTCCGTCCGCCCAGGTCGGAGGCCGCCTCTCCTGCCTCTGCGTCCCCCACCCCCGTGTTTGTTTTATTAGCATGTTTTGCTGCCTCGTACCCCCAGTTACCCTGAAAAGGGGGGCACGAGAGGAAACCTCCCTGAGTAGCTTTGCTTGGTGAATTCGCTCTCGTGTCTGAAGGGTCTGTGAAAACCCTCCCTGATGTTCTTGATAATCTTCATTTGTGTCTTTCTCTCTCTCTTTTTCCTTTTTCCTTTTCTCCGTCTTGTCCAAGGGTCACCAGTTTTGTCACTTCTTCTCAGATAAACAAATGCTTGTTGATTCTCTGTGTTTCATGTCTGTTTGCTGTTTCATTGGTTTCTGTTTTTCTGCTTTATTGGTTCTGTCCTTTAGTTTATCACCCTCCCTACCTTTTTTTTTGGCAAGTTCTTGAGACAGACACTCAGATCTTTGGTTTCCACCTTTTCTTCTTTTCTCATATATTTATTTTATATTTTTATGCTCACATTTATTTTGACTCTACGTTTCCCTCTGGGCATTTCCTGAACTGCATCGCAGGAGTTTCTGATGGGTTCTGTTTCCATTCCCATTCAGTGAAGGGCAGGTATTTTTTTGTTCTTGGCTGAGTTGAAAGTTTAGAGCTTACTTTAAAGGTCTTTGGGGTTTTCTGTCTTCCTCCGTGTTGCTGATTCCTCGCGTCACGTCACAGTGGGCCGGAGAGTGGACTGTCAGCACGGCTCTGTTGTTTGAAGTTGGCAGCCTTGCTGCACGCCCCTCCCGCGTGGTCAGTGGTGCCTCCTGGGGGCCGTGGTCCCGCCACAGGCGGGTGCGGTCCTGCGCATCCTCGCTGATCTTTGTTCACTTGTTCTGTCTGCTGTGAAGAGCCGTGGGTTTATATGGCCTGGCGTGATTCTCGCTAAGTTCTGTCATTTCAGGCTTTGTGTATTTTAAGGCGTATTTTATTTGCTACTGAGAACGTGGTGGTGGGGACTGCAGCCTGTGACCCTGGGCTGTGTGCATCACTGCCGCCCAGCTCCTCCCTCACTGTGGGGACGCTGGGACTTGAGCCACCCTGGGGGGTCCGAGGGCATCTCCTGCTGGGGGATCCCCGCCATCCACAAAGTCCCAGACCTTTTGGGCTGGAGTCACTGTCCCCCCTCAGCCGAGGTCTGCGGTCCCTCCCACACCGCCCTCCTTGGGGTCCTTCAGTTTTTCCATGACTCTCCCTCCTGCGACCCAGCTCCTTCCTGAAACCAGAGCAAAAATTCCGAGCCCTCCCCGGTGTTTCGACCTGGAAGATGTGTGATGTTCCATCTGCCCAGTCCAAGAGGCTGCCAACTTTTATCTCCCATTTGATGTCCACTTCAGAGGCACTGACCAGGACCCCGGGGGCAGCAGGCTTGGGTTTCAACACTCCTGGAGAATTGTTTGCACAAAATTCGTGTCCTAAAATGAGTGGCTTCCACCGGAGGCCCGCTGCTTCAGCGAAGGCAGGGTTTTAGAGCGCGTCTCCAGCCAGCTCTCGGTTCTGGGACTCACGCCCTTTCCCTCTGTGATTTACTCTGCCCCCTCCCTCTGTCCGGCTTCCCTGCAGGCTTCAGCCTCAGCTCTGTGATGTAACCCTTTTCTTCCCACTGACACGGAAGTCTAAGAGGGAAGGTATAGGAAAAGCAGAGTTTGCGCTCAGCAAATAAGTAGCCAATCCTGCGTCTGGACAAAGCTGGACGCTGCTGAGTCACGTGTCCCTGGTGGGCGTCGGATGCACGCTCCCCCATGTGTGCACAGCCTCCGCCCGGGGGTCAGCGGGCCCAGGCCTGGGCCCAGAGCGCAGTCCACGTCCCGCTTTCTGCTCTCCGCAGGACGCAAGGTGGACACGATGCTGGGCCACGCGGGCGCTGGCCGCGTCCGCTTCCTGGGCCGGGTGCTGGTCAACCTGTCTTCCTGTGTGGCCCTGAGCCGCTTCCAGGCCCTGGACTCTGTCCCCGCCCTGGAGTCGAAGGCACAGGAGCTGATGCAGCGGAACGATTTCTTGGCCAGTAAGTGTTCAATGAAAACGTATGCTTGTCGAGGGGAGGGTGTCGCTCGGGGGCGCAACACGGGGTCCTGGGTTCCATCCCCAGCACCGCCATTAAATAAACAAATAAAGCCAACCTAATTACCCTCCCCCCCAAATATGCTGATAAGAGCACCAGCCGAACAGGTTGTCATTTTGCATCTCTCTCCCCAAATGGCTCAGAAAGGAAAGGAGGCCTTTCCAGAGAAAATGAAATAAAGTAGAACCGATCACACTGAGTCGCTGGAAAGATGGGTCTGGTGCGTGGCTGGTGGCGTTTCCTCCAGCCGAGGCCCAGCGCGGTTCCCTGCACCTGCCTTCACTGGTGGTTGGGGCTGGTTTACCAGCTCGGGGGTCACGTCTCACGTGACGAAAGGCAGTTTTCTTTTCTCCCTGTCTTTCTTTCTTTTCTTTCTCTCTCTTCCTTCCTTCCTTTGTTTCTTCCTTCCCTCCTTCTTCCTTCTTTCCTTCCTTTTTTAATTGAAGTATGGCCAGTTTACGATGTTGTGTCAGTTTCTGGTGTCCAGCGTAAGAGTTCAGTCATACATACACGCACATATATTCATTTTCATATTCTTTTTCCCTGTAGGTTATTACAAGATACTGACTAGAGTTCCCTGTGCTGTACAGTAGGACCTTGCTGTTTACCGATTTTTATATATAGTAGTTTGTATCTGCTAATCTCGAACTCCCAATTTATCCCTTCCCACCCCCTTCCCTCCCTGGTAACCATGTTTGTTCTCCATCTGTGAGTCTGTTTCTGTTTTGTAAATAAGTTCATTTGTGTCCTTTGTTTAGATTCCACACATGAGCGATCTCACATGGTGCTTTTCTTTCTCTGTCTGGCTCACCTCACTTAGTATGACCATTTCCAGGTCCATCCACGTTGCTGCCAGTGGCATGATTTCATTCTTTTTCATGGCTGAGTAGTATTCCACTGTATAAATATACATCTTCTTTATCCAGTCATCTGTTGATGGACATTTAGATGCTTCCATGTTGTCACTGTTGTAAATAGTGCTGCTGTGAACATTGGGGTGCAGGTGTCAGATATTTTTCTTGATTAAAGCTATACTCTGATTTCTCTCATTCCTTTTATTTTTTTTCCTTCCTTCCTTCCTTCCTTGCTTCCTTCCCTCCTTCCTTTCTCAGGACTGAACCCAGGACCTCATGCAAGCCAAGCACACACTGTACCTCTGAGCTACACCCTCCCCTCCTCTCCCCTTTATTTGTGTCATGATGTCTTGAGATCCTGGGGGTCCGGGGAGAAAAGACAGTGGCCAGTTCAACACTACTGATTCATTGTTCACGTGTTCAGCATAAATATCATGTGTTCTCATATTACTTTTGACTAAACTGAGAGTGACTTTCCTTTGACTTTATTAGTTTGCTGAGGCCGCTGTAACCAACCAGCACAGACTGGGTGGCTTAGTGCAGATCTGCTTTCTCACAGTTCCCGAGTCCAGACACCCAAGACAGGGCCCACAGGCCTGGGTCCCCATGGGGCCCCCCTCCTTGGCGTGTCAAGGGCTGTCTCCCCTGGGCCTCTTCTCATCTTCCTCCTTCTGCACAAAGTCTTTGTCCAGTTTCCCCTTCTTGTGAGCACACTGCTCATCCTGGATTACAGCACATCCTCTCCTGGTTACCACCATGAAGACTCAATCTAGCCATAACGAAGAATAAAATCGTGCCATCTGCAGCAACATGGGTGGGCCTGGAGATCGTCATTCTAAGTGAAGTCAGCCAGAGAGAGAAAGAAAAATGCCATATGAGATCGCTCATATGTGGAATCTAAAAAAAACAACAACAAATGAACTTACTTACAAAACAGAAACAGAGTCACAGACGTAGAAAACAAACTTATGGTTATGAGGTGGGGGAAGGTGGGTGGGAAGGGATAAACTGGCAGTTCTAGATTTGCAAATGTTAGCCATTATGTATAAAAGTAGATTAAAAAATCGAATTTCTTCTGTACAGCACTGGGAACTATATTCAATATCTTGTAATAACCTTTAATGAAAAGGAATATGAAAATGAATATTTATATATACATATATGTATATAAATATGTATGACTGGGACATGGTGCTGTGCACCACAGATTGACACATTGTAACTGACTATCCTTCAATTTAAAAAAAAAAGGCTCAATCTCCACATAAGGTCTCATTGCGAAGTACTGCGGGTTACGACCTGACTGTATGAATTTCGGGAGGGCATCATTCAGCCCATAAGGGGCTTTATAATATGAAGTTCAAACAGTTCCTGTGTCCGAACACAGAATGCAGAGACATCGCTGGTGAGGCTGGGGCTGAAACCCCAGGGAAGGAAGGCCTGACAATGTGAGCAGCCTCCGGTCATTTTTTCAAGTCCTGCAGAAATGCAAAGCAAGCCGTTTCTCTGTATTAATGGTTCTAGGAAAATAAAACTGGAGGTTTTTTAATTTTAGGAGGGGACTAGGAATTACCGCCGGTGGCTGGTGCAACCTGGAAAGTCAGCTCTGCGCCCGTGGGGCGCGGTCCCGTTAGCGATGGAGACCGAGCCGGTTGGTCCCGTCGGGTGCGGGCTGAGCTGGTGGGAGCTGCTCCCAGGCTGCGATGACCCTCAGCCTCCCCTGTCTGGCTTTAGGCGTCATATTCAACACTTCCGGACCCGGTGGGAACCTCAGCTCGGGGTCCCTCCAGCTGCCGCCCCACGTCACCTACACCATCCGCACCAGTGTCCTGTACAGCATGAGAACGGACCTGGTGACAAACCCCTCCTGGAAGTTCCGTCCTCAGAGCCTGCCGGCCGACGGGTTCAAATATAACTACGTCTTCGTCCCGTTGCAAGACATGATCGATAGAGCCATCGCTTCGGTGCAGACCGGGCGGGACGCCCTGGAGCCGGGCACGCAGGCGCAGGCCATGCCCTACCCGTGTCACTCCAGCGACCTGTGAGTATCGGGGCTCGGAGCCCAGCTTCCCGCGGGGCCCCGGCCAGGGAGGCGGGCGCCGCGTTCGGAAACCTGAGTCGAGACAAATCGTGGAGCTTGTCTGCAGTCATCCCACCAAAGAGCATTCGGGGAAAATCCATTCTCCTTTGTAATTGCCTGAGTTTCTTTTCCTTCTTTCCTTCTTTCCTTCTTTCCTTTCTTTCTTTCTTTCTTTCTCTTTCTTTCTTTCCTTTCTTTCTTTCTTTCTTTCTTTCTTTCTTTCTTTCTTTTCTTTTCTTTCTTTCTTTCTTTTCTTTCTTTCTTCCCTTCC